CAGCAAAGTGTCCATATGGCAGAGTTGAGCAGTTGCCACTAGCAGCTGTTCGGTTCGTACCTTTCGGCTTGCTTCCAAAAACTCTGCCTGTCGGCTGATGAGCTTGGCCAGTGCAGCCTGCCGATTAGCGACTGGGCGTTCGCTTTCTTCGTGCCGTGAAATATTCGAATCGACACTCATGTCCATATCAAAAGCATCTTCCTTGTCCTCGATGGGGTCAAACGTTTCAGTCGGATCGTTTTGAAGGGATGTATAGATGACAAAGTTCTTCTTTTCGTCTGATTCTGCCAAGTTGATTACCTGTAAGATATCAAAATAATAATAATAATTTCAGACGTACATTCACTACGAACTACACTATAGTAGGTATACATAAGACTTACTGAGGAAATGCTTGGCAACAGGTGGTTTTCATTGCTGTTTTGGATTTGGGTGGTGGTGTTCGCCGTCAGAATCAACAGTTCGATGCATTGCTTTATCCAATAATGTTGTCCGATGGAATCCCAAGCGTGTGAGCAAATGATATAGAGCAATCGGTCGTGCAGTCTTCGCCTCATAGAACCATCAAATACCTCGAAAAATTTGGCTCGGATCTTGGGTTGATTGCATCGTAAACCTGCCAGGAAAGCGGCTTCCAGTTTAGAGGTAAGCTCCGTTATTTTGAGTTGCTCATCTCGATAGATGTAGTTCACCAGTTCCAGAAATTGTCCGTTCAGTTCCTGATCCTCGGCAAAACGTTTCTCCACGTACTGCATCAACTTAACCAATAGAATGGATTTTTCCCGTAGTGTTGGGGCTTGTGAAACCGTGACAGGGGAATTCTTATTCTTCATCCATTCTTCGATCATCTTAACAATGGCTTTGATCACTTTCACATCGTTGCTTTTCTCAATCAATCCGACAAGGATTCCACCAATGAACATCTTCCGCATTTCTACACTCATTACCACAACTCGATTTTTAACAAGATCCAACGAAACAACCAACAGTTCCAGAGCAATTGATCCGGCATTGGTTGCAGCTTCACCGTTGCCATTCTGATTACTGACGATTCCTCCCAAGTGCTCCTTCGTTAGTCGGTTGAGTAATCTCATGAATGGGATTATTAGGCGATCAATATAGCTCTGATTATTTGTGCAAGCTGCTTTCAGTGTCATTAGGGTGCCGAACAACGTAGATGGATTTGCTTGTGAATTTTTCTCGTACGCGGCCAGACCCTCGAATATCATTTTGCTGATAGTTGCGTAGAGGGTTTCTAGCTCGTCATGTTTGTGGTGAGAATCCGTGGGGAAAATTGACATCAGACGAGTGAGCAATCCATGCATTAGTTTAATAACTCGTGTGTTGGGACAGGTTACGCAAGCGGAGAGACCTCGCTGTAGCGGGCGGAACGTGGCTAGAATTTGATCCTTTTTCAGAACAGACAACAAGAATGTTAGCAGCTCCAAAGCGGTGCAGATGTTTCCTATATTTGGCTGCTGGCCTTCGATACTGGTGAACACTTTATCCAGCCATGTGAGTTTTAGATCGAAGGGTTGCTGCCAAACGTCCGGTTTGATTGCTAATTTGAGCAAAGTGACACATCTTCTCGAAAGACTCTCTCCCGGTGACATTGTTCCAGGCGTGGTTGAGACATCATTCAATTGACAGGCCATACGGAAGAGGAAATTCAGAACAGCATCGCAGTGTACGCGATCAATTGGCCGACCGGAGCCTTCGACTTTCGGAACTACTACAGCTATGGTACCAGTCGATGTACTCGGAGATGGTTGTGGAGTTGTTTCCCCTGTAGCCAACTTTTTCCGAGCTTCCTCTTCTTGCGCTGTTCGCTTCACAGCACCACTGGATTGTTGTTTATTGTCTGATTGGAGTTTGCTATCGTCATCTTCAACGGCACTACCGTCCGTCTCTTCTTTGATTCGTTGAAGTTCCCATTTGATGATTACTTCTGCCAGTTCAACCGATAGCTTTCGATAGTCAATAGTGGCATTCACTGTGAATCCCAGCCGATGCATTGAATTGATGATTTGTTGCACCAAGTGATGGCGAACGGGATAATAGACCTTGAAATGTCTAACCAGCAGTTGCAGAATGTGGAACAACTGCTGCATCGAATGACCCTCTTCAACGATGATTTTCTTAGTCCAATGGGTTAGCATTGTATTTCCGTCTTCCATACGTAACGGCATCGCTGGTGTCAGCACCTCCAGGGCTTGTTTAACAACCGTCCTAGCTTCAACGGCGTGGGCCTTCAGAAGTGAATGGAACACCTGTAGGACTATTCTCTTATGTATTGCCAACCTCGCTATGATGTGACTGAGCAGCAAGTGACCATGATACCTAGCGGCTGGGTCGACGCAATTTTTCGGCAGCAGACAAGGCCAGGCAAACGTCATCAGGCGTCTTAGCTTGTTTCCTTCCCGCTTGTTATTTGCATCTCCATCGTGAATATGGGGTGATGCTCGTTCTACTAACAAACAAGCAAACTGTAGCAAAGCAATCCTCACGGCGTCTTCATTGGCAAATGGCTTCTCCGGATCGATAACTTTATTGATGAAAACTGACACGATGTTGTTTTCATCCTCTAAATATGGCGCAGGTGGAGCTCCAACCAACTTGTTGCCTTCGCCTTTTTCGAAACTGACAGCAAAACTCGGAATGATTACCATCGTTAGGATTTTCGCCTTCAGATCCTGTGATATCTCCTGATTGCTGAAACATTCCACAAAGTGGAAGAAAGCTTTCCTTTTCCAATCTACGGTGTAACTTTGGCACACGGTGTTCTGGAGGAAATCTCGGAAGAACTGGAAATCCGGTATGAATCGTAAGCAAAGTGCTCGCAACAGTTGGAACAGCAATGGAATTTCATTTGTATTGTGGGAGAAGTATTCCATCAGAATCTTTGCCACCAGATGCCACATATCACAAACTACGGAAGATTGGCACGTCTGAAATGAGATATGGTTCGTGAACACAGTTTTCCATTGAAAAAGGCAAGAACTAACCTTGTACAAATCGTTCTTCCAGATATTCTTCAATGCCGCTATAATATCCGTCTGCGTCGAAATCCACGGACTGTCGAATTCGATAAGCGTGTGAATAATAAGAATTGCCTGTTTCTGTGCTTCGTAGCGATCTTCAAATGGTTTGCTGGAGAAACAATTAGAACGATATTTATTAGATACAGAAAACCAACCATTACTACATTACATACCCTTGGGCGATTGCGATGCTTCCTTCCGAATTGATCAGGATAAGCTGAATCAACCGAGAACCCTTCTCCTGGACGGCATTACGGAATGATAATCCATCCTTATGCTTCAGCAGATAAATCATGAAGCGATTCCACTGGGCATCTTTCACGTTGACATCACTCAACAGCAGTTCCATAGATTCCTTGGGAAACTTAAGCAAAAACTTGACCAACGGTGGACGATATGGCGAGCAGGGTTCGATCATCAAACTCTTCTCAGTCTGCAGTATCAGCTTGCACAGACTGTCGATGAATTTTGCCGATGCCGCTGGAATTTGGTGGAATATTCCAATGATGGTCACGATTTTCTGCTCCGTTTCGCCCGTTTTCGACGCGGCTAGGAAATTGGATCCCTTGTTGGCAGCGATCGAGCTTTCCAGCAGTTTTTTCACAATTTGAAGCAGTGAGTCGCACAGTTTTTCGTTGAACATCGATGGGAAAAGTTGTGTCAAATACGAAAGACGTTTAGCGCCGTTCAGCGTTAGATTACGATGATCCCCCAACTGCATCAGCAACGGACGGATACCGGCGTGAATCTGGAAGAATTTGATTATCATTATTACATTACACAACCGCACTACAACATATTTAAAAAAGGACTTATTAAAATCTAGGTATACCCAAAAGAAATCAGCAACTTACGGTTTCCTTATCAACGGTGCATCCCTGCAAAAAGTTCTGCATGCATTCGAAAGCTGCCTCCTGCAGTTCCACGTTGTTTTTCTCGAGAGCCTTGAATAGGATAGAGAATATTTTTTCCCGGCATCCGTTTGGGATGTAATGGCACGCTGCTAGAGCCCGCAGAGCGCTCTTCCTAAGTGGAATCAGATTTGTTACCGTCTTGTAGCAGTCCAATTTGTTCAAGGTTGTATCCTCTGCATCGGACAATGTCAATACCTCGTGATAAAACACTTTGTGAGTCAAAATGGTGAGATCTGCGGAGAAAGAATCGATTAAATAATATAACATGGAAGGAAACTTCTTGGGGAGCAGCTATATACCAATAGTGAATAACCGTGGCTCCAGCGTCGTACAGAAGGTATTACCATCCATAAGACCAATTTGAGCGCTAGCCGGTTGATGTCGTAGTAGATGCTTCTTAGGGGGAATCATATCAACCAGCACCTCACGATGTGGATTCATGACTTCCGTTACGGTCTTGCCTTGTAATTCAGCAATCAGTCTTAGTGAAGCCATTGCCGTTTCCCGGACTAACGTGTGAGGACTTGTCACTTGTCTAACCAGCTCGTGAATCACATCGTACATGGCTTTCTTCTGTGTCGAAATCAATTCCTCGTTCTTGCAGTCCCTATCGAGCGGAGTCATACAAATTTTCAACATCTTTTCCAGATAGTTTTTCGCCATATCAATTGCTCCACTGGAAACCTCCCCAGTCAGATCCATGATTATGAACATGAACGCTTTAAGGAATATGAATAAATGTTGGTATAGCCATCTCATTGCCATGTTTTGATAGAGGAACTTGAGAGCAATGCAGCCGCCCATTTTTGAGTACCACGGGCGTTCGTAACACAGGGCAGCCATCTTTTCTGCGAGGTACTGCATCATCGGTAAACGACAGGCACGTTCCTTCGAACCCATAATGTTGGTTGCGGTTTCCAGAATTAGAACCATTGCCAAGTTTCCTGGCTTGCAGAGCTCTTTTTCTTCATGGCCCATTATTGCTGCTAGAGCATCGATCAAAACCAATGGATCGAGACCACTGTTCATCTGATGATGCTTGTGTGGAAATGGTCCGGCCTGCTGGGCTATAGCAACCATGGTATAGTGCCTTACAACTGCTACCATTGTGGGAAGTACTGATCCACGCAGTTCCTTGGTAGCTGCTGCCACAAACATTCCCGTTAAGGCTGTCTGATGGGTTTGTCTTGCTTGTTTATCCTGCAAAGTGTAATGCGTACCAGTGGCCAGCACATTGTTGTCAGTAAAACTCGGATGCATAAACAATTTTTGTAGCGTATGCTTGTCGTCATCCAGGCAAATCGAAGCAGCCAAATAACACCTAATAACTTCCCAGCTCTGGCGCCAGTAGAATGGATCAGTAGTACTAGTTTTCAACGCAATGAAGGCGGTTTCAATCACTTTATCAACCGGGAAATCGATCGGTTTCCGATGCTCCTGAAAGTAAGCTACAACAGCAGGCTGAAGCGCATCACTTTCCTGGTACATTAGTTGTTGTGGTTCGATCATCATTTTTCGATTGCCCCCTCCGAATTTACCCAATACGCGGAATGCAACCACCGCAGCGCTATCCTGGTTGCGTAGTGTTCTCCATAGAGCTTGCATCAAATCGGCCCGCACCGGTTGGATGTGATCGTATAGGAAATCCGGCTGCAGATTATCTACGCACAGTTCCAAAGTTCGAAGGCCCTGAAATGATTCACGAATATTGTTTTAACCTTTGGGGAAAAACTCTACATAACATAACATAACATAAAAACTATAAAAGGATTATTTGTCTATGTGCTGTTGTGAGAATATGCTTTAAACCGTTCTATACCATTCGCCGAATACCACTTGCCCGACATTGGGGCCTCCCTTAGCACGGTCGGTACAGGCGCAATGCTCAAGGAACACTAAAAAGAACATTGACCAGAATGTCATAGAAACTATAGATACTATACACTGAGGCCACCCCATTTACTCATACCGATAAATAGATATTTTGCAGTTTAGGCTTCAACGGAATATGAATGTACAGCTAATACAGACTATCTCTTATATCATATAATATAGGCTGTCTTGCAATGAGCACTCATACAGTAGTTTTCACTGAAAATCCTATGTATGAGTGCTCATTGCAAGACAGCCTATATTACATGATATAAGCCTGTACGGGGTATAATGATCAAAAGAAGAGATGATAATTATTTAATGGATATTTTCCATATTTTTCATATAGGGGAAATGGCTCAAATGTTGGCCTATGCTGCCGTTCTACGCATATCAGTCCCATGTTCAAAAGTTGCTGTGTTGTTATGAACAAAAGTTAAAAACGCCCAAAAGTAACATGGGACAGATATGCGTAGAACGGCAGTATGGATCTAAGATTGGGATCATCGCCAAAAATCTGCTATTTATCAATTTTATCTAGATGAACGCGTCATTGGGACGGTACTAATGGATATTTTTTGGTCGCTATTGAAAATTTAGTCGATTGCTGAATTTATGTATGGGCCCAAATTAGGGGCATTTAGGCCGACATTACATCCAGTTCCCCTATAGTAATACATATTCCATGACGGCAATAAAATGCATTTTCATGATTATGCTAAACGGCAGTTATGCCAACTGGTCATTAAGCCAATCGGAATTATGCCAAATGGGGCAAAGCATTAAAAGCTTTTTTTTAATCTTTATTATAGAGAGTTTTAGCCGAAGGCTAGTTCATCTCTTAGCCATAAGAAGCGCTAATATCCAGTTCATTATATGTTATTTTATAAAACGGACTTACATCTATTGTGAGATCAGTTTACACACTGAAACCCATAGAAAGTAATACTCGAAGCACACATTTTGTATTTCAAGTTTACTGCTTTCCATTGCTAAAGAAAATAGTTCTACTTTAGACGGGCTTAAGATTATTGCGAAATAGTTCTTTCGGGTAAATGGTCCATTCGGGCGAATGTTATAGAATCGCTTCAAATACACACACACACGATCATCAGACGAAATCTTACCTGACTTACGAGCGTATGGGACCCATTCAGCGCCGACACCAACGGATCCATCAGCATTGGCAAATAAGGAAGTAATGAGGACAAACGCACTGGTACCGTAAGGCAAAGCTCCACAAAAAGATCCTTCATATGCTGCTTGTGGAAACCACTCTGTAAACGATTGAGCCCTTCCAGCAAATTTGGCAACAGCGGTAGGAACTCTTGATAGAGTAAATCGTGTGAACCACCACCGATGGATCGGAATAATGCTCTCAGTAGTAGAAAATAGTTGTACGGTTCCTTGGCCGTCATGGCCAGTTCCATCGATCGATTCACGATGTTATGCAAGTGTGGCCTTAGCATATGTTCGTTTTCAGCTGCAAACAGGCTCACACTGCCAAACACCAACTTGAACAGCCGTAGATAGAGATTCGACCGCTCGATATTAGAACCCATCTCTTCCATACGCTCCAGAAGATACTCGACCAACACCGTGGCAAAAAGAGGAGACGTTTTGGGATTCGCCAGGAATGAATTGGCAATGACCTGAAGCGCGGAGTTTTTGTACAGTCGATCTACCATAAAGTCGATGGTAGAAGCAAATATTTCCTGGAAGTTTTGCGAATCCATCGTAAGAAAAACTCCACTGAAGTGTTCCAGCACTTCCTTCTCTTCCTTCGAGCGAGGCATTTGTAGAGCTTGTTTCTGTTGGGGTAACGTCTGTGGAATACCCATAGCAGGGACGTTTATCGTGTAGATATCGAGAGCCTCCAAGGCCCAATGGAAGAGATCAATGAAGATCAATATCTCATTTGGATTGAACAACTTCGAAGCCGGCATGCCATGATCGTTGGGGTTAATCTTCGCAGCAGGACAGCCCCACGTTATCGTTTTGACACCACATACGAGCGTTTTCACCAAACTGCGATACTCAGTCACATTAAGATTGTTCGGTTGCGGGAATCCGATGCTGGTAAGTTTGAATGAATTTTCTGACAAGTCCATTCCGAGGAAATCTTTCGGAATATTCCCGTCACTTGCCGCTGGAGTTTGTGGTGTATGTTGCGGTGTGGCTCCTGCTGCCGGCGTACTTTGAGCAGTTGACGGTGTTCCAGGTGTAGCGTTTGCATTACTTTCGGGTTTGAAAGATTTCCTGAAACAAAACGATATAAATTAAACAGATTTCATCAACGACTCTCATAAGGCGTTTTTTTTTCTTCTTCTTTAATTATTACTTACCATTTCTGCATGATCTGTGGCAATTGGAGTTTTGAAATTGTATGGAATTTTTGAGTAAAAACTTTGAGCATGGTAATTAAAAGTTCTCGACTGGCCGCTGGTTCCACATCGCTCTTGATACGAATACATTCAACCAAGTTAAGCAACAATTTGCAGGACATTGTTTGAATGCTTGTGGGCAACGATTCGTCATGAACGTTCTTTGCAAACAAATATACAGCCTTTGACAGTGCCGGTAAGCTTAAGTGCTGACGTACATGATGAACCAAATCGGCCAATGTGGAATACGCCAGTGGACGCAAAGACTCATGCGTTGTCCATCCTTTTCCCAGCAGAATATCTTCGTCAAACAGTTTATCGATTGAAGATACAAAATCTACAAAATATCATAATTTTATATAATCCCAAATTGCGATAGCTTCAAGCAAATGTATTTTCTTACGATTTCTCAGTTCTGTGGCTAGAATGTGTCTGGTTGCTACCAGTAATTCCTTCCTCAAATGGGCAACCTCCTTGGGACAACTCTCCAATAGATTGAGCATTCCTTTCACCATCGTTGGAGCGTGCGTCAGAATGACATCCTGAAAAAGTCTGATAATATACGCGGAAAACGCCAATGTCTTTATTTGAGCTCCCATAAAATCCACATAAATTTCTCTGTTGAATCCCGGAGAATTCCTAAAAACAAAGCAAAACATGATCAGCAATTAAAAGATATATTTTAAATAAAATACAACATACTTATGAATCAATGATGGTTGGAGAGTAATCGTGGTCATAATCAGCGGAACGAAATCGACTACCTCCTGATGAACATTGGTTTTGTAGATCTGATACATCAGAACCACAATTATCGGAAGCTCTTGCAACACTTTTAACGAGTTGATTCCCTTTGGGATCAGGTTATACTGCAGTTGAAAATTGTTTTATTAATTCGTTTGATTAAAATATATGCATATATCGCTAATACAAGCCTTACCGTCACTGTTGAGAGTTTTCCGTCTGCAGTCTTTTTTTCAACCTGAATCGAACTGAGAGTAAACGTTTCCGGTAACAAATTTTCGAAATTGACCTCCTTCAGATCCTTAACACGAATCGCTTGTCTGGGCTCAAACATCGTAGCCAAATGCTTCGGTAGATCGGAGTAAATCGTTTTGACATAGGATAGAAAATCTTGAATCTCTGGATGAAACGACGGCCGATATTGTTTGTGTATGTCGATAATGATACGTAAACAAACAAGCACATTTTCTTCATTATCGGTTTGCAGCAACTTGATGGTGAGCACAATTATCGGTTTCACATATGGTCGGACCAAATCAGATGTTGGTAATCGATGAATCATTTCCAGAATTATCTTCCGAACTTGTTGTAAATTCAGCTCGGAGATAAAAAGCGGTTCACCTTCTTGCAGAATCTTCAGAAATATACGCATCGAATGCTCCAGGAAGCTGGGATACGAGCTGCATTGTGTAATCAGCTCGAAATGCTCGCTCAATTCTTGTGCCGCTTTGAGTTTAATTTCATCCTTCGCAGTAGGATCCGCAAGCATGTTTACGAAACTTCGAAAGTGGTTCATTTGCACCGAATCAATCACCAGCTGGGATTGCGGCGAAGATGTACTCTGTGCATACATCGAAGTCATGGTTCCTATAGCACGCCAAATAAAAACATAAACAAACAAACACACACTTTCGCATCCGGAATCAAAACAAAACTCACGTGTTTTGTGAAATCAGCTGTTGTTTGACAACAAATCTCACCGACACGAAACGTTGTGATGGTATTTGTGCGTTGAAATGTGTTGGTAGAACGATGATTGTCAAATCTCAAACGCCAAACTCCGCGTGCGTCACCATTTGCAATTTTCTTTTTTTTTTTACTTTTTAACACCCAAACTTACAATCCCACCAATGAAATCCATTGAATTAATTTGCGCTAGCACTCCATACACGAAATAAAGCTAGTTTTACTTAAAAAACTGTCGGATTTTCCACCAAATAACTGATTATTCACAACGCTTGGGGGAGGATCGACCGACGCGAGCTAAAGTAGGAAAATTTTTGACAGTTTTACCGTTTTTATTCCCGATGCAAAATAAATGGCGATTGATTTTGCACACTGAAGAAAAAGATATGGTAAAATATTTAATAATAAAACCCTGTCTCTCAAAAAGAAAAAAGCTACCCGTAAAAAATCCAATGTATATACACGCTAACTTCTGCTTACTCACCAGGTGAGTCGATCGTACTCACTTTCGTCCGATGTATCCAGTTGTCAAAAATTGAGTAAATGAGAAATGTCAAACTGAGTAAAAGCCACTCAGTCAGCAAAATCCTGGACTTGGAAAAATGCCAGTCATGTCGGAGGGAACCTTATAGAAAATGCTACCCAAAACCGGCTGAAATGCCTTCAGGTAAGTACGAATTGCTTAGGGAAACGGTGTTGAACCGTGTTTTGCTCCGGTAGAATGAATCCGGAGCAGGCAATTTCCATTTCCTTGAATGAAAATCAAAACAAAAACCCTCCCCGCAACTGAAAATACCGGCGAGTGGATTTGACTCAGTCTACGTGAGAACGTAGTTTACTCAAAAGTGAGTCAACATAAGGCTACTCAATTTTGAGTAGCCATACTTGCCGCTGAGATGAGTACCTTCGACTCAATTTTGAGTTGACCAGAATAAGCGTGTAGACCTTTTTGACGTTTAACCGTCTTTCTCTATCCAGCACACAGGGATGAATGGATGGTTTGTTTTCCCACCAATTAAAGAGCCTGAATTTATAAAGAGACGACATGTTAAAATTGGAACAATCGATTGTCTGTCAAAGTCATAGGAAAAGTCTCTTCTTCTTCTCCTTTTGGTGGCGGGACCATAGTTGGTCCATACTGCCAAGTGTGGTCAAGTCATGAAGCGATTTCGTTTTTATTTTGAATCATGTTTATTTATTGGATCGTCGGTCGCGATCTCTTTATTTATTTTTTTTTTCTTCGATTTAATGAACAGTTGAATATATGACTTGATTATAGAGTGATACACCTACGTGAAATCTAGTTTTTATAGTGTTATTTTGTTTAAGGAAATAAATTTTGCTATTTTTTTGTAATCTCTATAGTCAGAATTAAGTAATAATTCTTCAATATTTAGTTGAAGATGCTAATTTCAAATAACAGACTGTAGTGGTAATTTTTATACGATAGATGGAGTAGATGAAAGCATAGAGTTGATAGTTCCGTTAGAGTACGGCAGTGTGAAGATTGTATATAGATATTAGAATATCGAACTAGGACAACTTTTAAGGAAGGTACAAATCGGTTTTTTCATCTCTCTTTACCAAACTCCCCCTTTGGAGAGGGATGGTGAGGGGTGGCCGCCCCCCCCCCCCCTTCTTCAATATTGTTGAATTCATTTAAAATTTTGTAATTTGTTCTAGAATATTTTAAGCAAACAAATAGAATATGGTTGATATCCTCTTTTACCCCACATGTGTCACATTTGTCGTCTCTAACCAGGTTCCATGAATATAATTTTTCTTTAGATAGTGTGTGAAAAGTTCTTGTCTACCTATTGTGACTATTTCGTGTGTATCTAAATTATATTTATCAAACCATGGTTTTAGTGTCGGGTCTTTTAATAAATTGTAGTGTAATTTGCCTTTCTGTGATGAAAGTGTGGTGTATTCTTGTATCCAATCTTCTATAGTTTCGTGTTTAGCTAAATTGAGAGAGTCTCCCAGTGGTATTTTTGAATTTATACTTTGAGTACTTTGACATCCTTCTTTTGCTAGTATGTCTGCTTTCTCGTTTCCTAATATTCCTTTATGTCCTGGAACCCACTGTAGTTTTATCGTTTTATTTGTTGTGTTTAGTTTTGTGATGATATTGTGAATTAAAAAATTATCTTTTAAGTTTTTATTATTTATGCTGGTTAATGCTGATTTTGAATCTGTGCATATGACAAATTGGTTTTCGATTTTTGTGTTTGTGATGTCCAAAGCCATGTCTATAGCCATTAATTCTACATTCATAATCGATAGTTCCTTACTGACTTTGCACTTAATTTTTTCGTTATTATTCTCGATCCATATTCCTATTCCACATGATTCTTTTGTTTTCGATCCATCGGTATATATTTTATAAAAATTATCATATGTTTCATTTAAAAAGTTTATGAAAATGGTTTTTATTGTATCATTATTCATATCGTTAATTTTAAGACCTGGTATGTTTGTTTTAATGTTTTCATTTATATATTTTTTATATTGTTTGTTGTTTGTGTTGAGTTGTGTGTTAAAATGATTAGGTAATTATTTTCATATATCGTGTGTTCCAAAAAAGTGTAATGCTTAGGAAGTTTATCTATTTCTAGGAATTTCTGAGTTATGTTAACTAACGGTTTGTTATATGTAAATGTTTTTATTGCTTCTTTCTTTGCAAGCCATTTTGCTCTACATTGAATCGGGATTTCCCCTGATTCCGCGTACAATACATTTATCGGTGTTGATTTTAGAAGACGTAAACATGTTCTAAGTGAGGCATTGAATGTTGAGTTTATTTTCGTTAAGTTTGTCTTTGCTGCTCCCCCATATATTGTTATTCCATAGTCTATTTGCGCTCTTATTATTGCTTTGTTTATTTTTAGTGCTGTTTTAGGATGTGCTCCATCCTGCTTTTTGCAGATCATTTTCATAATATTTAATCGTTTTTTAATTTTATTGTTTAGATAGTTTATGTGCATTTTATGTGACATTTTATTATCGATTATGTAACCTAGGTATTTTTGTTGTTCTTTTTGTTCTATTTGTTTTTCGTTGATTTTTATTTTAATATTATCATTTTTCTTTGAGTTAAATAATATAACCTCTGATTTATCAGGATTGACGTCTATTTTTAGTGACTTCAATTGGTCTTTAAGTTGGTTTAGTATTATATTTGCTGTTATTTCTACTTCTTCACGTGATTCTCCTAGTATTGTTATTGGGAAGTCGTCTGCAAATTGTACAAAAAATATTTTATCGTTCGTTATTTCATGAAGGTTCCTGGTATATAAATTAAATAAAATTGGTGATAGGGGACATCCTTGAGGCAGTCCTTTATTAGTATTTTTAATTATTTCTCCCTGTGTGGTTTCGATTGTGATTGTTCTGTTTTTTAAATATGTTTCCAACCAAGCAACTATTTTTCTTGGTATTTTAAGATTATCTAGTTGTTTTAATAATATGTTTATGTCTACCGAATCAAAAGCTTTTGTGAGATCTAAAAAAATTGTAGCTATGACTTGTTTAGAGCGTTTTGCTTCTGTTATTACGGAGTTAATATAATTAATACAATTTACTGCCGAATAGCCTTCTCTAAAACCAAATGAAAGTTTGGGTATTAGTTCGTTTTCATCTATGAAAGAGTTAATTCTTTTTTTAACTTCACAGTTTATTATTTTTAAATTTATATTGATAAGTGCTATTGGTCTATAAGATGTTTCTAATGTTTTGTCTTTGCCCGGTTTTAGGATTGGTATTATTTTTATGATTAGCCATTCATCTGGTATTTTTTTGGGTCATCCAAACTTCATTTGTGAGCTCAAGTATGCGAATTAATAGATCAGATTTTATTTGTTTTAAGAAATAATATGACAATTTATTTTGTCCAGCAGCAGACGTATCTTTTTTCTCTTTTATTGTTTTAATCATATTTTCAATGTTTAATGGTTGTACATATTTTTCTTGTTCTACGTTGTAATTGTAGAATTGTAAATTTGTGTTACTTTCTTGCTTGAAGTTTAATTCTAGAAATTTATTTGCTAGAGTTTTATTATTTAATAGTTCTGTTTATTAATTTATTTGATAAGGCTCAACCGAATTAACTTTACAGAGCCGAGGATTCTTGGTCACTTTACAAAGCATCTTAAAACTATAGTCAAAAGGTACAACACAATAAACACTTTATCTTCCGCTATCCAAAAAGCCTCCTTCATCAGAACTGGAGCCGCTTCCAGTAGTTTCATTGTATGGCAAATTGTTGTACGCCAACGAGGGTCAGAGCGCGTCCATTGCAGCAATGGACGCAAAACGTGGTCAGCACTCACACACTCATCACGAAACGGTTGCTTTCCAAAGTCGACGACGCATCGACCGAAAGAACTGCTGATGAAGAACAATGAGGAGGACCACACAATGGTTGCTGCCGAGAAAACAGACAATCGCGTGGCACACATCGAGAGTGGTCTGCTTTTGTCGACAGCCGAGTGAACACTGATTTAATAGTTCTATATTATCTTTATTTTTGTAGGTACCACTGACACATCTTACTATTTTCCACATTTTATCGATAGTCGTATTTTCATTGATTTCCTGTAACATATTGCTTCTGTATTGCATTACTTCTTTCTTTAGTGCCACTTTAAAATTTATTTCTGCCTTTTTAAATTCATGTTTGTTTTCTAGGGTTAGATTTTGTCTGAATTTAATATGTTTTTTATTTTTTGTTTCGTAAAGTTTTTTGATGTTTTCATTCCAGTAAGGTTTAATTTTTTTCTTGCTATTTGGGTATATTGTGTAGGTTGTTACAGTTCCCCGGTTGCGGTAGAGCAGAACTACCATAGGGCGGGCTAATCACAAACACTTAAGGCAATGTGCACCAACAAATCAAACAAAATCATGAGAACATAACTTGTTAACAAACGTGTATTCTCATTGCCCACATATTTTCCCCTCCTAGCTCCTGCTCCTCTCTCTCTCTTTCTCCTACTCTTGTTACTCTTCCTGGACCTGTCTAATGCTTGCTAAACAACATAACTCTTCTTTTTTCCTTTCTTTCTTCGGCGTCGCAAAGCTTCCGCCCACTACGTACATTGGAACGTACTCACATGTTCTCCTGCTCGCCGTCGTTGTTGCCACTGAGGGGCTCACTGCATGTCCTCGGGGCTCGCGATTGACTAGCTTCTCGCCGTCGTCTAGTCGGCAACTCGACGAACGATCGTCGTACGCTTCCGTCTGAGACCGATGTCCTGTTGGTCACTCGCCGCACGGTACCAACGCTCGCCGTCACACG